ACCTTAACCAAAATCAAAGTAGACTATCACTCACCCACACCAGATGGAAAACTCTACAGACTATCGGTTCACACCCCATCACAAGTCAGCAAAACACCCACGAAACAAAGAAAGGTCTGTCACARCCAAAAAATACACTCCAGACACGCCGCTGACACTAGAGGCACAGCATGGTCACGTAGTGACGGCCCCGACCACTGCCGCTCGACCTGACCGGAGAAAACCGTAGCAGAAAGCTAGCGAAGTTATATATATATATATATATAACATTAAAAAAAGTAGGAGATAATATGGCATAACAAACAAGACACCACGAGATGTGTGAGAACAACGTCGTGCGCAATGATTTTCGGATCAGCAGATCAATGTCAGGTCAACGATAAAGCCATTCAATCAGTCAAACGCTGAACAACTCTATATTGTCACCCTCAGATTCCGAGCTCGATGCCGGGACCCAATCATCGCATGCAGGCACCACATCGTCCTCCACGTGACCGATGATGAAAACACGGTTATCCCCCACCGCCTCATGGTCGGAACCGGAGGCATCATCATAAACGACTTCCACTGGGTCGCCCCCACCATTGACGAACAGATCGCGCGGCAATGGCGCGGCTCCATAAGGACAAACCTCCTGTCGCAGAAGCTCTCGAGCCCAGTCTGAAACACGAGCCGAACCGAACACGGACGCCGTCAACCTGTCCTGCCAAGAGTCGATCGCCTCCTCACCGTAGTGTCGACGGAAGCCTGGTCTCGGACGTATGGAAGTGCCCGCAGCTATGCGAGCAACGTACCCGACTGGGTCGCGCCAGTAGTGATCGTTCCACCGAATCACTGCGATCAACAGACGCGCATAGTAAGACTTCTCGAAATGCACCGACTTCTTCGCATAGATGATGATGGTGCTCTAAAAAGTCTCCACCGCCGATGTGTGCCGAAACTCGACGTGCAGGCCCACCGGCCTTCTCGCACAGAACCTCCCTACCGCAGACACATCCGGAATGATCACCAGCCCAATGATCGGCAACCAACATGATGTCGCGGTGTAAACTGCTGGCGTCTCCACCCTCCGCCCTGCACAGCTGACAAGCGCGGAGGAACCACATCCCAACCTCATGCGCATGATACTTTGTCAAGCCGTCAGGATCAGTCTCCAACGCTCGAGCGTTCGACCTCGATCCGTAGGGGTACATCTTCCGCATGACGACAGCGACGAAATCTGATTTCTTCATCCGCTCCTCAGCAGGTGTGAGAACGCCAGGTCTGAAACGCTGCTCCAACGCCTCCATCAGCCGCTTCTTCGTGAACTGCATAAACTGCGTCTCTGACACACACTCGTGCGGGTTACTCACTTTCTTCGCTTCCTTCAGATGCAACATACTATGGAAGTGTTTGCGAATGTTTTTTATTTTGTGGTGGCAATCCTTCTGCGAGTCGATGTTCAGAGCTCGCAACTGCGGTCCCAGCGCGACACAATCATCCGAGACAACGCACCGGATCTTCAACCCCTTCTCCATCAGCCCTCGCAAAAGTTGCACGACGGCTGGCACCTCAAGCGCATTCGACGCCTTGCCTTCGATCTTTGGACGGAGAGTGTGCACACCCACAACAAGCCGAGTCTCGTACTCCATCCCGCTGACAGTGCAATGCTGCGCGCCTCTCGCAGAGTCATATCGACCATCGACCATCAATGTCACTGGCTCACCACGGCGCATCAAAGTGTCAATGGCAAGCTCACAATATTTAATGCCCTGTCGTACGACCTTGGCATTTCACCCCTCCGCCTCCCCCGGTTCTGTGCGCATAAACTTGTAGAACGTGGGTTTGTGCACCGAACACATCCCTAAACCAACACAAAAGTTGTCGAGGAGCGTGAACGTAAGGCCGGTGGTGACCATCTTATGAAATAGTTGCTGCTGCAGTCGCGACTGATAGACGTTCGTGGTCACGAGTGCCGTGTGCCACGTCCATTTGCATTTCTTGTCATATACGAACGTCAGCTTACAAAGTTGTGCTGGATAGGAGACGGACTTCACACACACACGGCACGAGCCCTTGTGCCACGGGCAATATAGATGAAACATGGCCAGCAATTGAAGGAGCTTGACCGGCTCCAGAAACACAACATCCGGCGCCGTCGGTCCACTCCACAATGCCATCGCCTCCTCAACACTGGCACGGTCAATTTCAGGCCCAGGAACGCACTGGTCAACACCTTCCCAACTGTTCACCACGTTTGCGGCCGAGTAGGTGTCGGTGTGTACTGACCTGCGCTGCGGGGTCTACCGCGCCCTCTATCACTGCGCTCTGATGCAGGACGCGACGACGGGAACGAGTTTTGCGATCCCTCCTGCGACTCCCTAAACCCTCCGCTCTCTGAACCCTGCGAACCCCCCGGAACATAGTCAGCACCGGAATCGCCTGGCATATAACGCAACGTGAAATCTCAAACGCACACCCGAGATGGCAACGACGAAGAAATCACATCTGCTACCCCGACACCAAACTCTGCACGGATGGCTGCCAAGGACCAGTGGAGCAGCCGATCAATAACGTCGCTGACCAGTCCGCGATGGTCACCCACACCGGCCATAGCATCGCGGAGAGCGTACAACCGCCTCCGACACGCGTCCCGCACACACACACGCACGATGCTGCTGATGTCCGAATACGGCGTGCCACCGACTGCCGCAGAGCTATCGACATCGT